TTTTGAATGATGCTATATTTCACAATAAAACATTATTTAATGAAACATATGTATCATTGATGTTGATTTTATATATCTACATTTTTCATCTTTAATCCAAGGATTACAATGTTCTCTCTCGCATTACTTTTCCAAGTTTGTGTTACTTCACCAGGATAAACCAAAGACAGGCAATATATACATGACATGCTTACTCTGAGACCATCTGATGGTTTAAGCTGCACAATCTGTAGGACCTGCCAGTCACTGTAAGGGATCAAAAGGATGTAGGAGAAAACTTTGGTCTCCTGAAATGCAGGAGCCGATGTTCCAGCTGAAGATAGACCATACCAGCCAAGACCAGTACAGGAATGTCAGGCTGTGCCAAATTAAGATGAGTTAAGGGATACAGAGAAAGAAAAACCAGTTTGGGTGGGATTCCCCAGAGGAAACTTAAAGGCAGAAGCCTGAGAAATAGTATTGCAAGTTCTTAGCAGAGAGTGACGTAATGAAAGCAGTTATCTTTGGAGACCAACTCTGGTGGTTGCATAGCCTTGCTGCCAACGCTTGGTTTGGCTCTTCTTTTGCCCCTATGCTTTAAATTTTTCCACAGAATTGAGGTTTACAGATCGGCTGTAGAGGGCCAGGGAAAAGCAGCCTTCTGTTTCACATGGGCAATCCAAGGAAATGTGGATGCTGGACTTTTTAAAACAAAAGACTCACATTTAAGTGTTGCTGTTAAATAAAAGACTGTAATTTTAATAATCAACTCAAGTCGACCAAATCTTTATCCAGCAGGTCTCCCATTTGCCTTTCTTGTGGAGGGACTTGTTTTCCAAAGAGAATTTCCACTATTTTTAAATTAAGGGGAAAGCCTGAACGTTTTCAAATGAAACACCCATAAGCTGCCTGTTACGGCAGATCTAAGCTCCAGGCCTGGCAACACTCCCCAGAGTTGGTGGCAGAGGAGAAGAAAAGGCAGTGGGCACCGTGACATGAGGAACAATTCAGCAGGGTCAAAACACAGTGCAATTGAAGGGGATGACAAGTAGGGTCCCTGTGTGATTGCCAGCTGTTTCTTGCAGAACTTTGGCAGAACAAGAGCAATGATACTGACTTACAGAGCTGTTTCCACGAGTAACCATTAAAAAGTACATTGAAAACATTGTTCGTGGAGTGCCTCCCTCATTCTCTTTTGGTCCACTTTTGGCAGCAAGACTTAATANGGTGGGCGAGGAGGTCGGGCATATGGGCCATGGTTGAGGTCGAAGCCAGGGCTTTAAAAAAACACATGGGATTTAGAACTTGAGTTCAAATCCTCACTAGCTCAGAGGGTCTGGTCATGTAACCTTAGTTTCCTCATCTGCAAAGTGGGAGTAATACTATTACATTATCTCACAGCATTACTGGGAGAACTAAATGAAAGAGCACAGGTAAAACATCAGTCTGGTACCTGGCACAGAGTATGAGAAATTGATTTTAGTCATTCTTCTCCATGTGGGAAGTGGGACATAAGGTGGGATGGGAAAGATTCAGATAGGCTGAGTGGAGTAAACTATGTACAAATGCATAGAAGTAGGAATTCAAAATGCTCTAGGAACCATTAGATGTATTCAGGGTTAATACTGGAACTTTATGGCCTAAATTTCTAATTTTTAAAAATTCTCCATTTAAAAAAATGCTTTTGTCAAAGAAAAGTCCACAGAGGCAAACTGCTGCCTGTATTCTTAAGATGACTGAGGGATGCTTTTTGGCTCTCCTAGGTCTGGAAATTCAATGATCTGGTCATGGTAAGAACTAATCATAGTGAATTTTTCATTAATAAAATTAAAATCTTTAAACCGTACATTATATTTTCATGCAAGTTTTNCTGAACGTTTTCAAATGAAACACCCATAAGCTGCCTGTTACGGCAGATCTAAGCTCCAGGCCTGGCAACACTCCCCAGAGTTGGAGGCAGAGGAGAAGAAAAGGCAGGGGGCACCGCGACATGAGGAACAATTCAGCAGGGTCAAAACACAGTGCAATTGAAGGGGATGACAAGTAGGGTCCCTGTGTGATTGCCAGCTGTTTCTTGCAGAACTTTGGCAGAACAAGAGCAATGATACTGACTTACAGAGCTGTTTCCACGAGTAACCATTAAAAAGAACATTGAAAACATTGTTCGTGGAGTGCCTCCCTCATTCTCTTTTGGTCCACTTTTGGCAGCAAGACTTAATAGGTTTTCCCAAAAATCTCCACTGGCTCCCCCAACTGAGTAAAGTTTCAAGTACAAATTCCTCACCCTGCAATTCTAGGTACCGCTAAATTTGATTTCTTGCCTCAATGTTCCAATCTTAGCTCTCCCTGCTCCTCAAGACCAGTGGGTTCTGAAAGAAGAGACTGACAAACAAGATGGCAGTGGGAATCCACTCTCCCCAGGAAGGCCCTCCGTCGTCCTCTCAGCCAGTCCCTTCCTGCCAGTTCAAAACCTCATTTTCCACGAGTCTTCTTACGCTCTGGTTTGAACTAAATTTTCTGACTCTGGCCTACTTACTACTTCACCTGCAGCACACACTATACCTGAACCCATCTGTACCCACAGTGGTTGTGTAGAGTTCTCTGTCTCTCATGTACCTACCCACACATTAGCAATTCGAGGAACCCTCCATAAACAGAACATGCATCTTTTATTTAGGAATTAGGGAGTAGCTTGGGCTGCAGGGAAATCTAGCACAATAAGAATAAAGTGCTTAAAGAACACCTTTTTATTTATTCTCTTTAGGATGTTTCAACTTTTTCTTCTCTGTAGTCTTTAAATCTTTGCTTTGTAATTCTGTAAACGTAAAAAGATAGATAAAACTAACCCTTTTGTAATGGAAAATTTCATTCAAAATAACTAGGTCAAGCAGCTTATCATGAGTCTCTGTTATCTCACCATTTTAAAAATGCAATTGCTTGTTAGAAAGCACTGACCTCTGGCAATGAAATTGACTTAAAATTTCTCTTTATTGACTTAAAATGTGCCTTTGACATGTGGTCACAGAATGATAAAAATATTATTAAAAAAGAGTTTTCACTGGGTCCCTTTGTACCCATAAAGCAAAATTTGATCGACCATTAAGGTATTCCATTGCTCTGTGAACAAAAAAACAAAACAAAACAAAACAAAACCCTATAATGGGTGATTTGGTGACCCTGAATAGACAAAGCCTTAAAAAGGAGTAGGCGTTACATTGAGGTACAGTGTGAAGAGAAGCAAGCAATATAAAGCTGTTATTTAAAACCAAAAATAAGTCAACAACAACAATCCAATTACAATGTCAAATAATGACAGGTTGTACAACTGTCCCTCAGCACCCAGGATATCAAGATCTACGATGCTCAAGTCTTTTATATAAAATGGTGCAGTAGGTGCCTATAACCTACACATCCTCTTGTATGCTTTAGATCAACTCTAGATTACTTATAATACCTAATACAATGTAAATAGCTGTTGTACGGTATTTTATTCTTATTTATTTATTCTAGTATTTTCTATCCACGGTCGGTTGAATCTGCAGATGTAGAACCCATAGACAGGAGGGCTGACTATAATAGGAAGATAATCTTCCAATTTTAATCTCTACCAATCAGGTTCTCACTGGATTATAAGGTTTCATTTGAGGATTCACAACACAAAAGAGATGAGTGATTGAACTTAAATGACCTTTCCTAGTACTTTCCCTGAAATGCTAACATTCTACAAAAAAAAAAGGAGAAGAAAAAGGGAGGTAAGAAGCAAGTAACAAAGACACTGGAAAATATATGAAAAGAAAGAATTAAAGAAGCAGTAGGCATTTAAAGAGAAGACTGAGAGGTGAGCAAAGACTCATTTGGTAAACAAATTAAAGTAAGGGAAGAATTTTCTGATGTGAAAATTGAACACAAGAAGAAGTTATGAAATCTTCTCCCCTGAGGTATTAAAAACATATTAGAAGGAGAGAAGGGATAACTTCAAGGATTCTCTCAGGTGATAAACATTATTACATTAACTCTGAAAGATGTACAAGAACGACAACAAAAAGGCTGATTCACAGCGTAGTGACAAGAGTTGCCCTGACTTCTTCTAAGAACAAATCTTTTTTTTTTAAAATTTAAAATTAAGTTTAATTCAATAAAATAAAGGAGCTGAATGTGGATCTTTTTATCTTCCTTGTAGAAATTCTGATTTTAAATGCATACAAAAAACCCACTTAAAATCAGCTTTGGATAAATGACTCAGATACATCAGTGTAAAACATAAATAAAAGACAATGATACATTATTAAGAACAAATCTTAATGAAAGACTAAAATGCTGTTAAATATTTCCTGGGTCATAACAACAATAACTATACATGGAGACGAGAACAGCAGCAAATAAATATTTAAATATGTAAATATCTGTCTGGATACACCTAAGATAATCTACTAATATTTCACCAGATTTAAGGTAACAATAATCAGCAATCATCTAAAACCTAAAGCAACATTACTGATTGCTTCTTAGGGTGGAGAAAGTAGTGTTTACTAAAGAGAGAGGTTTACACTTTTCATACAGACTTTTCTCATATTAAAAGGCTTACTATTGGCAGACACAGTGCCAAGTACTTTACATGGATTCTCATATGTTTTCACAATAATTATATGTGGTTGGTACTATTTTTTGTCCCATTTTAGAGAAGTTAAGTAACTTGACCAAAGTCACACTACTAATAACTAAACTGTTGTGAAGGATTTGAACCTAAGCAGGCTGATTGCAGGGCTTGAGTTCTTAACCTATACACGGTGTTGCATTAAATATTCCCCCAAACCCTAAAGTATTGTTATTATCCCCGTCTTACAGGGATGGAACTGAGGCTCAGAGCAGTGTCTCTGGCACTGGTCTGGAGGACATTTTGAAAGGTTTTGCCATTCCAGGTACACATTTCTATGACTACAATCCCCAAATTAGGGCATGAAATAAAACAATTGAACTCGAATAAGGGCAGGTGTCTTAATGTCCAAATGGCTCTACTCTTATTTTTAACTAAACTTAAAAAAAATTCTATTGTATTTTGGTGGGGAGTTGCCAGGCAAAGCTATCAGCTGGATGTTGGGTAATCTGAGGTCAATATTGTTTTCAACATTTTCTCTAGCTTCCTAAAAAGAGGCACTGTTACCTAGAAATTCACTGTTTTGGGAGGAGTGGTTCTCTTCGATTCATGTAATTGGGTCTCCCTTCCTACCAAGAGTGTGAGAAAGCTGCAAGAAGAGTGAGGGGTATTTAGGTGTAGCTCTTGCACAAATCATAGACTACTAAAATATGCTAACATGAGGGTACTTTAAAAAGTTCTTGGAAAGGGACGGCCCGGTGGCGCACTGGATAGTGCGCCGCTTGGGAAGCGCGGCGGCGCTCCCGCCCGAGGGTTCGGATCCCACATACAGACCGGTTCCCGCTCACTGGCTGAGCGAGGCGCGGGAGCAACACCGAGGGTTGCAATCCCGTTGCCGGTCCCCGGTCCGGTACGGGGGTACCACTGAGGGTTGCGATCCGTTGCAGGACACGGAAAAAAAAAAAGACAAAAAAAAAAAAAAAAAGTTCTTGGAAAAATAGAATTGAAAGATAATTTGAATCTTTCCATGAACTTTTTGAAGTACCCTCATACAATCAGGCAGGTCACCTAATAGGGACCTTATATAGAATTGGTGGGGGCCTTTTTTGATTTTTATTTACATTTATTAGCTTCATGCTGAAATATGTTGTTTTTTTTTTCCTTTTTTTTTTTTTTTTTTTTTTTAATTTAGTTGTCGTAGAGCCAGAAATGAAGCAAGATTGGTGAACTGTGTCAGTTACAGAGGGGAAATAAAAGAAACGCACCATACTTCATTTGCAATAGTGGAACCAAATTCTGCAAACAAGTGTCCACACCTCCCCGTGCTCCCTCTGTGCCAGCTCACTGCCCTAGTCCACATCTATGGAGAAGTGAGCTCGTCTGGGCAAGGTGCCCACGTCCAGGGTGAGAACGGGTGTTCCTTGCAATACCACAAGTGGTAATCACCTCAAAAACTTAACATTTTTAGTAAGTAAAAACTTTTTAAAATTGAGCTCAAATTCGGAACTGAATATTATAAATGACTCCCACTGTAAGGCCCTCAAGGTTTGTCTTGCTTTGAGAATGAAGTTTTGTTATAAAGCCAAAATGTCCTACTTGTGAAATGGTGAGAATCCTTCTACGTTGAGTGGAGGTCGGCCGTGAGTACAGAACATGCCAAAAGTACAGAGCATACAACGGCATTGGTAGAGTTTAACAGAACTATTAAAGACTAGCTTTTTTTTTTTTTTTTTCCTTTTTGTCTTTTTTCGTGTCCGGCAACGGACTGCAACCCTCAGTGTCGCGCCCGTACCGGACCGGGACCGGCAACGGGATCGCAACCCTTGGTGCTGCGGCCTCCCCTCACTCAGCCAGTGAGCGGGAACCGGTCTGTATGTGGGATCCGAACCCTCGGCGGGAGCGCCGCCGCACTCCCAAGCGACGCACTGTAGCAGTGCGCCACCGGGCCGGCCCAGACTAGCTCTTTTTTTAACCAGTGCCAGAGCATTATAGTCAGAGGCAGGAGGGTAGTAGAAAGATGCGGAATTTAGACAGACCTGTATGTGCCCTTGGACAAGTTATTTTGTTTCTCCCAGCCTCAGTTTCCTTACTTGTAAACTGAATTTTTAAATTTTCTTTATTTGTGGAAAAATACCTGCTTTGCATGATAGTCTTAAGGATATGTGGTAACATATGTAAAATACCTGGCCCTCAAGAAATGGTAGTTGTTATTAATGATTACTCAGAAAAAGTGAAATAACTAAGTAAACTAGAGTCAAATAATAAGAAACATCACCTAACGAAGTAAACAATACTTGGACGATAATGAGGAAAAGTGTTGGGATTAGGGACTTAGCCTCTAATAACACCCAAGGGAGGATAAAAGGAGAGACAGGGCTGGAACTTCTGAGCGTGTGTAAATAATGGCAGCTAAATCCTATGCTGGGCTTTCAATTACACACTATATCAGAATGTAGAACAGACTATCGGAAATGATTTCTATGAAGATGCCTGGATAGTTGACACAGTGTTCTGATCTGCTCCCATCCCAGTTTCCTTTTGGCCCTCCCAGAGTGTAGCCCTGTTGGTGTTCTAATAAGCAGTCCTGTCTGTACCACTCTCTTCTCCTAGCCTTTTAAGAGGCTGTGCCACTAACTCCTAAGCTAGATGGCTTCCTGCTAAGGATCCATATAAGCTGGCTGTAAAATCTGTAGGTCAGGCCCAAATCATTTTTAAAAAAACAATAGACATTTGGTTCTTCCCTTATCACTTAGGAAACACAGACCCAAGAGTTTGAAGGTCTTGCCTGAGGTCACAGCTAGTGGCTGGGGACTTTCCAGGCCAGCGCTCTTCCCTTTGCCTCTCCATCTCCTCCCCTTTGCTTCTCCTCTCATTCACGTATTTTCCCTTTTTCTCTTTCACGTACTATGTCTCCACTATAGTTTCTCATAGAGCTATCTGACCTCAACTATTGTTATTATAATTCAAAATCCAGACTACAGATGATGCTCATAATGATGATGTACTTGTAGTTTTAACACAGGATCATTGGCAAATGCAGCTTTGACCATTTCTTGATTAAAATGTTTATAGACGACTGTAGTACACATTCGGAAATGGGATGTAGTGAAATTCCAATAGTCTAATTCATAAGCACAGAGCTTTTGAAAAGTTTGGGCTGGTTGGGATCCAATGTATTTATACATTTTTATTAGACTCAATTGAAAGATTTAAAAAGATGAATAAATTACTTTCCTATTTGCTTCATCTGCTATTGCAGACTATGTGCAACAGATGTCACATAAGAAATTCAAATTGCATCTTCAAATGGAGCATAACTTTAGTAATGCATAATTCAAGAGAATAACTGAAAACCAGAATAATTTTTAGAGCCATTTATTTTATTGGCTAGAAAGTACTAGTGGAAAAACACTCACCTATTTATTTGACCATTTTCCACTTCGGTGAAATCATTGGAATCATTGCTAATATTATCATCCTCAGGCACTGTCATGTTTTGCAACTCAGTTAATTCGAGTCCACTTTTGAAATGCATCATGTTTAGAAAGTATCTGTAGTCAAAAAAAGTAGTCCAAATTTCTCCTGTTCTGAGTGTATTTAGAAGTAGATAGCAGCAAAAATATAAGCTTGACACCCCTAAAAGATAGCAAAATAGAAAATAATTAAAGACATGAAAAACACCACTGATTAAATATAAACTATTACAAGTAAACTAATAGTTAACTTACTGATAACACAACTTGTACATTTTGCTACTACATACATTAATGCAATCTTCGTACATCAAATTATTTAGATTGATCTCTAAATTCTATGCCTTTCATAAATTTCCCTCCATGTTTAACTATAAAGTGAGTCATGCCCCATAATTTTTATGCTCACCTTTATAGGAATACCATGTTAGCTGCAGGAAATATAAACACTCTTTTATGAAATAGTGTGTTTAAAATGAAAGAGATTCAGTTATTTTAATGTGTCAGATCACAGGGCACACATATAGCTGGGTACAGACTGCATAGATACAAAAGCATGTCTGATTTAGCAATCCCAGCTTAATAAAAATGTAAATCCTCAATAAATGGTATCACCAGGATCAACTACCCAACCTGGTGGTCAACCAGCAAAGGACAAATTTGTGTTTTGAAATTTAGCAAACAGTTTATCCATCAACTGCAAGAGATTAAATCAATCTCTTCAATGAAATCACTCCATGTCAGGGAATTAGAGAATTAAAAACTCATACTCAGGGATTTGAGTTAATCCACCTGCTGCTATATTTCCTCATCAGAAATGACAGACCTCCAGAGTTCACATTTTCTCCCACATGGATGACTGTGGCTTAGATTTCTGAAGGGTCACCAAAAGAATTTCAGGAGCACAGCATCACAAATCAAAAAGCAGGTGACCACAGAGGCAAACACAACTTCAAAAGTGAGGCCTATATACGCAAGGGAGCTGAGATACTCTCAGTGAGGTGATGGGGACCATGGAATCAAGCAGAATGTCAATGACTTTTTTCTTATACTTCCAATAGCAAACCCCCTTGGACAATGGTTTTATATTTTGTTTGATCCTGAATTCCATAAAATGACTATAACCGAGTTAAGAGTTAGGTAGTTAAGAGTCAAAACTCCAATGTGCCTACCTAAGCAACCTAGCAGTATCCCAAGAAGCATTTTACTAATTTATAGTATTGTGAAGACCCATGGAAAGTACACTAGAATGATACTTTTTCAGGTGTTCTCCTCGCCTCTTTCCACAGCCAGGCCATGCATTATTCCTTTTCATTCACATAGTCTCCTACCTAGAATAAAACTTCCCTGGTTCAGGATCCTTTAAAACTTCCACAACATAAGTACTTCCTAACACTTCAGGTTCCAGGAACTTCATCCTTCCAGCAGGGCAGAGCCTCTCCTGGAAGGTAGGAAGCCAGGACAGGGAGATTCGAACCCCATGACTCTGGGTCTGAGGCTGATGCTTCCAGCCGTGGTGGTAGTGCTAGAGACTGGCCCGTCTCTAATTGCTTTCAGTGCCTTCACACAACAGCAGTGTTTTACAGTCTATCTTTGCTTTGTAAAAATGGAAATGCATTCAGATGGTTAAACCCCATTCTCACCTCTTGGACCCCTTTTGATGAAAGTTGTCCAAGTGGGCTTGACTAGGTGATTTCTGGGAGTCTCGCCACACTGATGCCCTCTTGTGTGACTACCCAAGGCTACTGGAGTGATATTACAGGTCTGATAGAAAGTTTATTCAATGGACGGCATTTCCAATCTGGTTTAAGGAGTCTTTTTCTCTCTCCAAACTGGAAGAATAATGGGCAGACAAAAATTTTTGGAGGAGAGGACAGGTTATCTAATAATAGATTTGGAGTCTGCTGTTTGAATTAAACTTCCATATCAAATATATATGTGTGTGTGTGTGTATACGTAATGAATATATATATAAAACTAGTTATTTAAAGAAATGGACAAAGAGGCAAAAGAATATAAAGAATAGAGGAAGTTCTGGCCATCAAAGTTAGGTCAGTATTAGGCAAATGCCAGTACAAGTTAATCACATACAATAAATTTTTATTGTTATAAAATAACCTCTCTGAAATCTCACTTGTTCTGGAAAACAAAAACTGGAAAATGAAGGGAAAAATTAACAAAGTTAGTGACACCCATCACCAAGGTTGAGACCACACTGGGAAAACACTATCCATTCAATTTATCATATATTTACTGAGTGCTAAGTGGTGAAGGGATTCGAAAAGTTTGAAAAGTGTCCAATCCAAGGATCTAAAGCAGCTTCACAGAATAGTCCCATTTGGACTGTATCTTGCAAAAAAAATTTTTTTCCCTAATTCTAAAACTGCTACATGCTCACTGTAGAATCTTCAGAATAGGCATTGTAAAAGAAACTCCACCACCCAAAATTGAGCCATGGTTAGATTTTGATGCATTTCTTCCCTCCTTTTCTTCCCTTTCTTTCTTTTCTTTTCTTTTCTTTTCTCTCTCTCTCTCTCTCTCTCTCTCTCTCTCGCTCTCTCTCGTAACAGTGGGGATTTTAGATTGCTTTTAACCTCCTTTTTTTCATGGAGTTTTATACCATAAGCATTTTGAAGAACAGAATTATTTTTTAAGAGCATCCAAAATTGAGCCATGGTTAGATTTTGATGCATTTCTTCCCTCCTTTTCTTCCCTTTCTTTCTTTTCTTTTCTTTTCTCTCTCTCTCTCTCTCTCTCTCGCTCTCTCTCGTAACAGTGGGGATTTTAGATTGCTTTTAACCTACTTTTTTTCATGGAGTTTTATACCATAAGCATTTTGAAGAACAGAATTATTTTTTAAGAGCATATTAGTTTTTTATTAATAAACAATATAGGTTTTGGTAGAAAAGTTAGAAAATATAATTTTACAAATACAGTAAAACAAGTCTTTAGAAAAAAGTCACCTGTTGTCTCAGTAAGCAGAGATGATAACTGTATGTATACTGTCGTATGGCCCCCCAGGGTTTTTCTATGAACATAGATATAATGCCTGGCACACAGTAAACTCTCAGTAAATATCTGTTAAATGAAAGAATGACTACAAATAAAAAATATATACACATTTACAAAAATAGGAATCACACCAAATATTGCGTTTTTAAAACATTTGTATACTGTCGTATGGCCCCCCAGGGTTTTTCTATGAACATAGATATAATGCCTGGCACACAGTAAACGCTCAGTAAATATCTGTTAAATGAAAGAATGACTACAAATAAAAAAATATATACACATTTACAAAAATAGGAATCACACCAAATATTGCGTTTTTAAAACATTTTTTTTTCACTTTACAAGATATTTCCTATCCTGAATTATGTCAGTAAACACAGGTCTACACCATTACTGCTAATGCTTGATTAACTGCTTGACTGTGCCAGAAATTGACGTTCAACCCGTTATTGATAGATATTCAGACTGCTTGGTGGAGAGGAGATTGACAGGTGGAGATGGGGCCTGCACTGAAACTTCTCAGTGGAAGAGGAACATGATCAATGGCACAGAGGCAGGAAGTGCAGGTTGAATTCAAGAAACAAAGAATTAGAGTTTCACTGAAAGATAGAAGAGATCATCCAACTATACAATTAACTGAACGGCAGACTGGGGTCATCGTGGGAAGATCTTGATGTTAACCCAACCATAATTACCATCTCTCAACATTTATAATAGGTTACATGTTTCAGTTGACTCAGAACAGAACATTTCTGATCCTTAACCACAGTCTTGTGAGGTACCAAAGGCAAGCATTATTATCTTGCTATGCTTATTGGTATATTTTACTGATAGTACCAATGTAAAGTACATAAACTTACTCTTTACTCTGCATGGTGCTATGTATCAAAGGAGAGGACGTACAAAGAAACCTGTCTCACCTTAAGCCTTATGTCATTTACAGCCTATTTAAGCAAGCAAGACCATCCCATATAAAATGACAGTGTGCCATAAAACATTTGCATGATAGAAACCAAACTACGTGGCAGAACAAAGAATGAGTCCAGAAAGACTTAAGAGACATACATACACACATGAAGGAAGAAAGGAAGTAAAGGAAGAAGGAAGGTAAAAAGGAGGAGAAATAAATGGGGCCTGGAAGAGTCAGGTAAGATTTTATAAAGAGATAGGACTTGAACAGTGTCTAAAAATAAGTAAGATTAGATTAGGAGATAGGGCAGGCACTACTTGTGCTGGGAACGGTACTAACACGTGAATTGCTCATACTTTGTGATGGATTGGCCTGCTCAGTATTTGTTCCCACCCCTTTCTAGTCCAGTTCTGCATTTTCTACACTCCCGTGCAGCTGGGGTTCTAGACATGATTTAGATTCCCCCAATCAGACAATGGTGGTGGCGGGTGCAAGGCATCCATTCTACCGGGACGATTCTAGCAGGTGCAGCAGAGAGTGCTGGAGCCAACAGTTGTGGTTGTGATTCCTGATCATTCGATTTGGCTCAAATGATGTGTCCCTGGAACATGCAGTTGGGATAATGGCTTCCTAGTTTCCTGACTTCCTGACGGAGGCACAAGGAGCAGTTACCATCAGCAGGCCAGTTGGATGTGTTGTTATAGTAATTATTCCTAGAGGCCCATCCTAAAACCTGTTCTGCCAGCAATTTTGACAAATTTATAGGCACTTAATTCCTGTATTAAATCCCCTTTGCTTAATATAGATAAAAAGATAATCTGTTAAATGCAACTAAACCCTGACTGATATCCTTAATTTTATTTATTTTTCTCTTTTAAATTTTTTTACTATGGGAAATTTCAAACATATATAAAAGTAGACATAATAGTATAATCAACTCCTATGCACCAATTTCAACAACTACCAATTAGACCCACCATCACCTGGAATTATTTTGCAGCAGATCCCAGATACCATATCATCTGTAAATATTTCAGCATGTATCTCAAAAAGGTAAGAACTCTCTTTTAAAACAATACCACCATATTACTATCAAACCTAAAAAATAACAATAATTCCTTAATATCACTACACACCCAGTCACATACACTTAACTTTAAAGTTTGTTATGAATCACTATTGTTTTTTATTATGAAGAACTGATACGATCACACCTCTCCTAGCTTAACTCCTGACAATCA